TACATGGGACAGACCTATTAGATACCAGTCCCCTCTCTCACCAGTCGTAAGTGGAATCGCATTCAATAATTGGTTGATATGTTTCTGTTTTAATATTTTTGATGAGATCACTGACAGCCCATTCATTGTAATTATTATAGATTTGCATCTCATTTAACATCTAAATAAATAACATGACATCAGGTATGAGTGAAATGACGATTAAGTGGACAGGGATTACCTTAAAGTGTTTTCTTATAGCACTTAAATCCCAGTTACCCTCCGGAGATACCAAATTGAAATGATTCCCCAATTTTACACTATTTTGATAGGCTTTGCGTTTTTGAAAACAATACATAATTAGTATATTAATACATAAAATAGCACACAGAGATATGATCTAGCACAAAACTCAATCTACAACAAAACAAAAGCACAGAATATTCTGTAAGTGTTATTAAGACTCAATTACTTTGATTCCACGCGTGATTGGGGTCGAGGTATGGGTCGTCCGACTTGAAAGGGTTGGTGCCGTTGTTGGCGTCACCCTTGGACTCCGGCTGGTCGGGGCTTTGCTGCTGAATATTACTGCGGGAATGGGATCTATTGATAGGGTTGGTGGGCACGCCATGGGGTGCCAGTGCGCTCGCACTGTCCATCACCACCTGATCCGTGTCCTCCTCGTAGAACTTATAGCCCTCTTTGGGCTTATAGTAGTTGACGTGAATGAAGGCGCCCAACACCACAATACTCAACACACCGTACAAACGGAACGTTATCTGAGTGCCTGTCCCCCAGAAAATGCAGTTTTATATTAGGCTCCGATTAAAAGACATTTTTTAGTCAATTCATGACAGACCCCATCGGTTGACAAACATCCCGCCAATGATGGATCCGCACCCCCGGCCCAGTCCGTGGTGTAGCCCCTGGAGTACCCCCTGAGTGGATGACCTCAACTGGGGTTCCGTGTGTTGTGTTATGTAACTACAGGCGGCCGCCCATACCGTGGCGTGGGTTACGCCTAAAATCGTAAAAATTGTCATAAGTTTTATGGGAATTGAAATTACTATTTGTAATCAACATACCCTGGATCAACTCAAATGGCAATACCCACCAGGGGTTCGTTAGCCACGATATATACAGAAACCTGGCTACGTTACCGGCTAGTCCTATGCATAATACCTGGGTGTTTAACATAGCTATTAGTAGTTTAGTGAGAGGGAGGGCAGGGTTAGGACAGACCTTTGTGTGTCCGTAGGTTTTGATGAGTGAATAGCTGTAAAAATAGGCGCAAATCTC